GGCGCGGGGCGGGGCGCGTGGCCCCCCCCGCCGTGTCCGTCCGACCCCAGGGCCGCGCCTTCCCTGCCAGCGCGGGGGCCGGCGAGGGGCTCCTGGGCCGGGTAGCCGCCTGGCGCCCGGGTGCGCCCACGTGGAGGCCTGGTGGAGGGGGACAGGCCCGAGGAGCTGGAGGCCGGGAGCTTGGTGTGGACGAGGGACGTGCCCCGACCTGAGGCTGGGGGAGGTTCGATGCGCACGTGCGAGTGCGAGTTTGTGATCCTGCACTCGGGACGCACGTGGGGAGAGTGCGGGGTACAGGGAGGAGTGGACGGCAGGCTCGTGGGGTGGCGAAATAGTACTTGGCCCGTATGAGCCCGGTGTTCGAGCCGCAGCCACCACGCAGGCTGGCTCTTGGTCGGTCCTGTCCCGGGTTCGCGGGTGCTGGTAGATGCCAAGGCGCGAGTCGGAGACGTGAAGCACGCTAGACTCACTGCTTAGCGGGCCACGTGGGCTGGGGAAATCAGCTTGCGCTTGGCAGAGGGGAGAGAAATGAGCTCATATATTTTTCCCCTGGCTGCAAGTAGAATAATTTAAAAACAATCTTACAGGCTGAAATGAGAGCGCATTCATTTTGTCGGAGGTATTTGTTTTACTGATGACAAAAAATACATCAGTTACATTTCTAAATTAAATTTTAAAGGCCAACAAAGGTCCCCTATGTAAAAAACAAGTCAAACAAACGTCATAACCAGAAACCTCTTCAAAGAAATCGGAAGTGCATTTGTTCTTCTTTGTACTGGAGGGGTGGAAATTGAGGTTACGTATGAATGATCTTTTTTTTTTTTCTGCTCTTGTCTGGATTTCTAGGGAAAGTAAGCGATTTCTAAAATGTCTCAGTAGTGTGGTGGGATTTACTACACGCTGCATAATTTTTATTATACTCTAACCAGTTTTTACTCATCACTATCCGTAGTGGGCAGTGAGGGCTCACAGTGAAGGCAGATCTCTTTAGCCAAGTGCAGCATGAAGACGGTCCCTCCTGCAGAATTTCCTTAGGTGCATTCTGAAGTCACAGGTTGCTACAGGTCCTAAAATAAAATGAATTTACAACCAAGCGAGCCTGTGACATTTAGACTACTGTGAGCATTAAGGCTTCCTGACATGTATTTCCTTCTAATAAATAATAACACATTATGTTGCTCAAAATGGTGCCATTTACAAGTATGTCATTCACCACAGCCAGGGTAAGCATTAGACTTACATATTGGTCAATAAACCAAAGTTTGTCAAATTAACTAGGCTAGTGCAAGGAATCGTTGGGTCTTGTGAAAGCTTATTTCGCAATATTAGAATCCAGATGAGAATCCTCTTTCATTCACTTTTCCTTCTGTAAAACAAGTCTTCATTTCTACTTAAGTGATATTAAGAAATTATATGATCTTTTCAACATGAGAACCTGTTTTTTTTTTGTTTTTTTTTTCGAGAGATTTTTACTATAGGGTGCGTGTATTCACTGGGAAGAGAGAGAAACAGAGACAGAAAGTAAGAAATCACACACACACACACCCCAGGGGATGGCCATGCCACAATCCTTTCTCCTCAGTTCTCTTCTTGGGATTTTGGGCACACATGCATACACGCCTGTCGTGAGTTTTAAGCCACCTGGGCCCAGAACTCGAACCTAGTCAACTACATGGGAACCCAGTGATGTACCTACCATTATGTCATCTGCTGGTCCCCAAAAGAGAACCTAATTTTTAAAAATTGTCTGACAAAGTTTTGGAGCTTTGTTCTGCCGTGTAAATGTTATATAACTTTATTTGTTGTTGAATCTACCACTTCTATCAATTTGACTCTTAGTGGGATTAGATCATTACTTGAATCCTTTTAGAGTTCTTCAAAACTAACAATTCCTTACTGATGTAGTATAAAATATGTGCTAAATGAACTCTCCAAAAATACTACCCAAACTGCTCTATAGAAGATAAAGCTTATAGCAACACTCCTGGCTCCGACTTGAATAGAAAATTACCCTAGTCACAAAAGAAAAAAATATCATATAGAAAGTTGGAAAATTATTGCTCATATATTATACAGTACGCTGTATTTAGTTTTATTTCAGAACCTTTGCAAAATCCTTATGCTTCCTGAATACATGATTACTCATTTTAAACCTCTGATTTCTTTGCATCTGATTCTAGACTCCAAAGGTATTCTTTGCCCAAAGCTGCTGGCTGACTCTACAGAATATAATAAATGTGGGCTATAAAACACAACTCAATATTTTAGTCATAAAATTTGAAAGAGAGCAAAAATTATTACTTGAACTTATCCGTTATTTCAAATTCAAGAAGGGTATGTATAAGTACATAAAATCACTAATGGCAGTGTCTTTATAATATTACATTTCCAAGGTGAAGTATGCTGCTAGTTTCTGGAAAATTCAGTATTGCGCTGTTGAGAAACCAATATGGAAGAGCTACTCAGGACATTTAAATGAAATTTACATAATAGTGCCTTTGGGTAGAGACTGCAATATATGCTCTATTTATGCTGGTCTTGGAAGGTCTGTTGTGAGTTTGGTTTTATTTTTGTTTGTTTGTTTTAAAAATAGTATTATATGATTACACTTTTATATGTGATATATTGAACCACATATATGTATGTATGTGTGTGTGTATATATATATATATGCACAGATACATATATGCATAATTTAAATCCTGAATATTTCACAGATTTTATTTTATTTCTAAAGCAGGAAGAAAAAAATGAAACTCAAAGTCATATTAAGGACTAAGATAATATTTGGGAACCTTAGCATTCTCTCCTACTTAAGTGAATTTGTCATTTTAATCAAATTGGTTTATTTTCAAAACAGAGGGAGGCAAGAAAAATAGACAGGTGATGTATCATTTGTAAAAATAGATGATTCTAAATGAATAATGCTTAGGATTTTAGAGAAGTCATTTCCATCGTCTGACATTTTTCATTTAAGTTTCTCTACTACACAGGGAGCTGAGTATTTTTTTTTTAATTTGCAAGAGAAAGGAACACCTAAGAGAAAGTGATGAATATGAAATACAATTTTCAGAATTGATGAATCATAGTTTTGACCTTTTCATGTAACAATTACGAAAATTACCTCTCTTTCCTTTTCTGTAAGAATCTTCATTCTTCCCTCTCCTCCTTTTTATCACCTTGCCCATTTGCTGTCACCTAGCGGACCCGACCCGCTTGCTTCTTTGCTTCTCTCCTTTACCTGGCCTGTTTGAGGAATAAAGGAAGCTGTGTGCAAGTTGCGCCATCTTTTTTGAGAATTCTGGGAGAGATGTTCTAAAACTGCTTTTTCTTAAGGCTTCGCTAATGATCTGGTAATAATTGGTTCCAGACTAGCAAAGTAGAAAAGAGGGCCTTTGGCTCAACGCATCACTGAGTAATTGAACCCCACCACGTGTCTTGGTGCCTAGTTTTGGTCTGTCCCTAAACCACCACATTTGTAACGTCCAACTATTTAAGGAATTAGAAGAGGCAATTGCGAAGGTAGATGATGAGCTCTTATTTGTAAACTACTTTTCAAGAGAAACCTCGCTAGGCCCATCACCATCACTCAATACCTTTTGAACACAAATGACTTTGATACTGGAGGAAATGATTTTTAGAAGGCCCAGTTTACCAGCAGATGTGTAGCTAGACTACAGAAACAGGAAATATTTTCAGTTTCCCTAACAATATTCTAAACCACGATCATCTGGCATACAGTAAATTCTTCCACTTTATTAGGAATTTGTTGCTTGATGTTTACTATGGATACTATGTAATGAGCTAGCTAGCATATAACCTTAGAAAAAAAGCTTAGTTTCATAGAATGTTAGAATGAACAGAAGGGGACTATATCCCCAGAATTGAGCTCCCCAAATCTTCCATTTTCACTAACTCTCTGCCTTTGGTAGCTTGGAGACTTTAGATAAGCAAAAAGACCATGGAAAAGTTTAGTGACCAGTGGAACATGTTATTTTTAATGTCTCCTCTCCCCTAAAATTATAGGTAATTGGTTTCCTTTGTTTAAAAGATATACTTGGCTTATTCATGACCATTTTATAGACTCGACATCATAATTTTAACATGCTATAAGATAGGTGTTTATATTAGTTTCTTTATTGTAATGAAATCTGGCTGGTTATATTTATGATG